GGGGATTGAACTCAGGACCTTGCACTTGCCAGGCAAGTGCTTATTCTACTAAGCCATCTCCCTGGCCCCTAGGTCAGCTTTATTATGCAGAAGTTGACATTCTGTTTCAGAATCGCATTTTTCATCTATGATATTACTTGTACTTTTTAGCATAATATAGGGAAATTAGACAACCGCAAGAAAATTTTACTTTGGTTTGTGTTCTATGCATATGTATCAATGCATGACTATGTTTTTTCATTCCCCGTAATGACAGGTCACTTGGTATTTCCCTGACATAGCTTAAGCAATTGAAGACAATGGCAATAATGAATGAAACCCACCCTGAGGAGTTTATTCTACTGGGCTTTGCTGACCGACCTTGGCTGGAGCTCCCTCTGTTCACTATTCTTTTGATAACATACCCTCTAGCCATGATTGGAAACATTGTCATCATCTTGGTGTCCAAGTTGGACCCTCGTCTCCACAGCCCCATGTACTTCCTCCTCACCAACCTCTCCTTTCTGGACATGTGTTATACCACAAGCATTGTCCCCCAGATGCTCTTTAACTTGGGAAGCTCTAAGAAGAGCATCACCTATCTGGGGTGTGCAGTTCAGCTTTATTTCTTCCATATAATGGGAGGCACAGAGTGTCTGCTCTTGGCCATTATGTCCTTTGACCGCTATGTGGCCATCTGTAGGCCTTTGCACTATACTCTTATCATGAATCAGCGAGTCTGCCTTCTCCTAATATCCATAGTGTGGATGACTGGGATTACCTATGCTGTCTCAGAGGCCACTGTTACACTGCAGCTGCCACTATGTGGCATCAATAAACTGGATCACCTGGTGTGTGAGATTCCAGTTCTGATCAAGACCGCCTGTGGTGAAAAGGAGGCTAATGAGCTTGCATTGTCTGTGGTGTGCATCTTTATGTTAGCTGTCCCTCTGTGTTTAATTCTTGCTTCTTATGCCAGTATTGGACATGCTATACTTAAGATGAAATCTGAGGGGAGGAAAAAGGCCTTTGGAACATGTTCCTCTCACCTCCTTGTGGTTTTCCTGTTTTACGGTCCAGCCATCAGCATGTATCTCCAGCCCCCCACCTCCATCTCCAGGGACCAGCCCAAGTTCATGGCTCTCTTCTATGGAGTGGTGACTCCTACCCTCAACCCCTTCATCTACACCCTGCGGAATAAGGATGTGAAGGGGGGATTAGGAAGGCTGGTGAGGGGCATTTTTAGCTCCAAGTGACAGTTTGTGGACATCAAGGGAAATTATTTAAAAATCAGAATAGATTAATGAAAATTTGTCTTGTAGCTCATAATATCATAAATCTCCTGTCATATATTCTTGCACATGTATCTTATCTCTTAGGTGTTATCATTATTTTAGGAAGGACTAGACTCGTATCTAATATGTACCATTATGGGTACTTTGTTTCCAAAAATATATTGAAGTAATTCTATATGGGTTTCTCCTTACCAATATAGTAGTTTTGAAAAGTATACAATATTAATAACATGCATTATGATATAATTACAGTAGTAACACTGTAATATCCTACAGCTATTTATGAATGTGTTTCTTATCAATGTCACCTGAGACATCTACTTTACTCTCCAGAATTGTTCCAAGCCTCATGGGCAGCCTGGTCCCACTGTACATTCTGTGTGAAGCAAGCTATGCTTTCTTTTTTTCTTACAGCTATGCTTTCAAAGATCATAAATTATGAGTTCATTAATTTTAATGCATGTATCTTCTTTTGCTTCTTTGAATGCACTGCTAATTTAGTGTAACTAATATGTATGCAGTGATTTTATTTGTTAATTAAAAATTCACCACTATTAAGCTCAACTATCTATGTTGTAGGGTAATAATAATAAGCTTCTCTTCTGGAGGGTTAACAACCTAAGTTTGCAGACCACAAATGAGAGGAAAAGAAGGGCTGCAAGGACAGCCAGCATTATGGCCCTAGCTTTTCAAAGTCAGTGAGGACTCAGGACATAGGAGAACCTGTACTGCAACATCATGTAACTCAGTTGTGTCCCAAATTTTCTAATCAAGGAGATTATGGAGCCACAGAGGAAATGATCAATGATGTAGAGCGTGCCCAAGGAGAGTCATCTGGAGATAAAACATTCTCTCAGGCTTTCACAGAGAGCAAATTGATCAAGCAATGGCCGTGACTCATCCACACGGCTGACACTGGCAAAGGATCTACAGACTGCAGTACAGGGTTTCAGGATAAATCCCGAGGGGATTTGACTGATGTTGTCACATACAAATGTTACATTTCTTGTTATATATGTTTTGTTTGATCTTCTTCTTAACCATCCAGCAGAAAAGTATAAAAACGAAGTATAAAAAAGAAAAGTCATATTAGTATGCTGAGCTGTAAAAGTCTCAAGTGAACAACTTCTGACATTGTCAGTCTTATGGAAAACCCACTACTATTATGGATTACTGGACTATATTGGAATATTTTCCTGAATTCACACACCTACAATATTTAAATGGCAATGGAATACCCATCTCTGACAAAACTAAACAAAAAAGGGACATACAAATGAACGACCATTTTGTATCTGTATATTCAAAATAGGATAGATATACAGTTGCATTCTCTTAATTCAATGAATAGAGTGATTTTCTCTAATAGTATTTGGACAGGATATCATGTCTGCATCATGTACAATGAATAACCACTAAGACAATGATATGCAATGTATTAATTATTGAAACTGTGCTAGTAATCAATTTTGAAACTGTCTCATTGCTACTTGTTTCTCAATAAAATTATTAAAAACAATTCATCACTAAATACTAAAATGAGATGAGTAGAATAAATAAATGATACAAAGAACATTTTAACATTTCCCTTGACTATAAAGATAAAGCTTCAGAAATACTGAAAGAACAAGGAGGTTATTCTAATATTACATCACACCCTGAAATCATCTTTGTGCATAAATTGAAGCAGCAAATTATATCTTTTAAAATTACAAGAATTAGTGTGAGATAGCAATAATTTATATTCTGAATTTGAAAGCAACTTGGTTAATTCAACAAACAATATATGATTATCTTT